AGGACAGAGCTCCTTAACCTTGAACCCAGACTAGGTTAGGAAGTGGGGAGATGGGCAACAGAGAAAGAAAGAGGGAGAGGAAAAACATACACACTCATTCCCTTAATAACAGCTGGAAAGAAAAGCAGGTCGAATGAAAAGACAACAGGAACAGCTGAGTCACTGAAGGAGACCAAGTAGTTTAATACAAATTGAGAACAAAAAGTCATTCTGGGCATGGCAGCTGTTTTGTGGAGCCCACAGGTGGCCAGACAGCCTAGAATAAACGAAAGGAATCTCTTTACCTTCAGATAGCCACAAATATGACCAGAGGGAGTACCCCTACAGTGAAATAATCTATCTAGAAGGATCTTGTAGAGGGAATGTTGCTAGTTGAAAGCTGCTGAAACATCACCCCCACCCCCACCCTCACCAAGAACAAGAGGAGTGGGCTAGACCTGCCCTTGGAAGTACTAGCCTAATGAATCACTCTGCACAGCCTCTATGGGAGCCCAGACAGAGACGGAGTGATCACCTGAGATTCACTGTTGTGAGAAATGAGAGCTCAGAACCAGACATGAAGGGAGTCTTTGTCCTTGGCAGTGCAGGAAGAAAGCATCTGTGACTCACGGCTAAAACTAGTTGAAGCTTGGACACAGGAAGGACAGCTGTTCTGTCCCAGGCACCAGAGGAAAGAAGTACCTATGGTTCACAACCTTGGGCAGTGGATGTTAGGACAGTGCCCCAGACACCTATATCAGTCAAGAGGGATGCTTCTGCACCAAAGGCTGCACACAGAGAAACCAGGACCACAGGTCCTGCACTTGAAGACCGTCGTGGGCTCTATGCCACTTTGAAGAGGACTCTGTGGAGAGGAGAGGGAGTGAAATGACCCATGGTGGACAGAACAATAGTCCAAAGCCCTACATTCTGAGCTCCTGTATACAATAGAAACATCGAACCAACATAGCACAACACCCTCCAAGCATCCAGGCTCACGTCCCTGAGCTGACAAATAAACCATCTGATGAGAGATGTTCAATAGGGGAGTGGTTTCTGTAGCCCAGAACCTCTGGGGAGATATGAAGCCAAAGAATGATAAACATCTTCTAAAGGTCCCAAATCCTGATGAAATCCAAACCAAGAGTCAACAAGAATTTTGGTTATGTTGCCATGATTTACTGTAAATAGACCCCACATCAATTTGAATTGCATTTTTCTAATGTCTTAAAGTAGTAATTAGAATAATTCTATCTTTGTTTTCCTAACTCAGGTTTACAATTGCTCCTCTTAACACCTCTTTTTCCTCTTATTACCTGATACTCTCTCAAATCTTCAAATATGCCCCTCCCTCACATCAATCTTTTTTCTTTTCTTTTTACCTTGGTGTGTATTATTGTTTTCTATCTTACCTTTTCCTCTTTCTTTTTTATTTTGTCTTTTCTTTTGCACATTTTTTTCCTTCTTCCCCCTTTCAGCACTATATACTGCCATGGCAATTTTACTACATTTAATAATTAAATTTTCAAGTTATTCCAGAACTTTACTATGAATTTATTCCTGGATTAGGATAACAATACTGACAAGTTTTATGGATAACAATATTGACAAGTTTTTGGCTTCTCAAAGGTTGAGTAGTACATGACTTTGCTCTAAAGTGATTGTAGGGAGGATTCAAGATGGTGGGCTAGAGGAAGTCTGCATTTCTTGTAGCTCTGTGACTTAAGATAGAAGCAGTGGGAATTCTGTTTCTGCATGAGTTATTAGAGCACCCCTGACAGTGCTCCTGTGCAGGACCCCCCCAGCTACCACTCCCATGTGGACCCCCATCTAC